CTGATGTTAATGGCCACAGTTTTGAGCAAGGCCTTAAGGAAGTGATCCATCAAGAGAGCTACAGGCTGAACATTCAAAGACTGTCACGTTTGCACAGAGATCAGCCAATAACGGCCATGGAGAAGGCCGTCTTCTGGGTAGAATATGTGATGCGCCACAAAGGGGCTCGTCACCTGCGTACAGAGGCTTATAAGATGCCCTGGTACTCTTACTACTCTTTAGATGTACTGTTCATATTGCTGTCTGTGGTCACAGTGCTGCTCTATTCTATTTTGGTTCTTGTTAGATTTCTGTGCTGCCGGAGAAGAAGAAAAGCAAAAACTAAACAAAGCTAAAATATTTTCCATTTGGAAGATGACATACTATGACTATTAGTTACTGTGGCAAAGAGTTACTTGTAGCACACTTGCTCCTCTCTATTGGCTATTTTGAGATTTCTGTATAGCTAAAGACCAAAACAATAAAAACTAAACACAACTGAGTTCTCTTTTAACAAATGTTTCAATGAGTTCTTTTCAATTCTAAATTAACATGTAAAAACAGACCTTTTATTTAGTTTTCTATGAATTTTTAATTGGAAGATGGTGCTATGTCTGACCATTATTGTGGTGTTACAGCACACTTGCTAAAATGATTAAACTGGGTTTTATTAAATAAAAAAACAAAAAAAAAAAACCATTACGTCTACATGTAACAGCAGATTGCTTGAACTTAAGATGGGGTTATTGCCACAGGCTAAACAAGGAAATGCCACCAGCAAAGGAGGAAAAATTTCACTTGCTGATTGGCAAGGCTGCACACTTGGGTGTATGACAGCTCTAGAGCAGAGCTTTCCCTCATAGCTGAGAGGTTGTATACACATGGTATTAAGAAAAAAAAAAAGAATAACATTTTGCAACAAATTATCAAGTCTGTGACATGCTTGGGATTAAAAAGAGCTAGAAATAATAGAATAATTTCAGAATGATGTGCATGCAAATGCTAAAAAAACCCCCTCAAACATCTTGGTAAAGATAATTTTAAAAAAGGCTCAAATTTGCCACTGGAAACTCTTCGATACAGAAAGTTTTTTTTGGTATGTTAGGAAGGAGAAAAGCAATGCCTAATTCAGACTGGCAAAAAGAAGAAAGTCACACATTTGGACATATTCATCGATTTTGACTGGTACTGCATGAATCAATGAAACACCAGAATTAGTAATGTTGTGGTTTGATATTCTTGGTTCTTCTGTTTTTAATTTATAGTATGTTTGCGCTTTGAGCTTTAAAATTTCTGAAAATTATAATATTGTAATGTTGGTCTACCTGTACATACACATGAACTTTACCATTCACGGCACGACATCATT